GAGGGCGCGGGAGGCCTCCACGGGTGCGGCGTGGAGCCGTGCGGCCGGGCGCCGCGGCGAGCCGTGCAGGAGAGCGCGGCTGCGGAGCGACCATTCATTTAGGCGGCTGTTTTCAAAATCCGGGCTGAGCGTGAATCGGAATGGTCTGGGAAGGCTTTCGAAGTTTTTGGCACGAGCTTCAGATGAGTTTAGTTTTCGGGCTGGATTGGGGCTGCGGTGGGGCTAAAACTAGGGAGTGGGAGGGAGAGCGCTGGGGAAGGGGAGGAGACCCCTGGAAACAGTTTCGCTCCTTCTGCCTCCTGTCAGCCCAACCTTCTCGCTGCAGGTTTTTAGTTGTACTTCGACACTAACTGGCCTTGTGACTTTGAATCTCGGCTTTCTCCAGGCCTCCCATTTTTTCATCTGTAAAAACTGAACAGATTGGGCTAGACGATTTCCAAGGTTCTTCCTGCTCTGTAATTGTTTGATCTTGTGTTTTGGTGAGGAAGTTCACAGGATCAGATGATTTGTTACGAATCTGTGAAATGTATTTAATTGTAAAAATAATTTCCCTAAAACTTTATTATGAAAATTCAAACACAGAAAAGTTTAGAGAACTGTACAGTGTCCATCGAGTTTTAATTTATTTTTAAGATAATACAGGGGGAAAATTCAAAATACAAAGGCATACAGTGAAAGTCTTCCTTCCCATCCTTGCATTCCAGCCAGAGGAAGAAGCCAGACTCCCTTGTGTGACCTAAGATACTGACAAGTACATGCTAACATAAATGTTTATACAAATGCCGATACATTTAAACGTTCAGCACCGTGCGTTTTTCATGAAAAGAAACTCTGTGAGGCTCATAGACTTATTGCTTGTATTAGAAATGGTTGATGTTGAAATAGCTCAGAGAAGCTGTGATTTGCTTGACTTGCTTGAGATCAGAGAACCTGATTTGCTTGACTTGCTTGAGATCGGAGAACACTTAAGTAGACATTCTGGATCTGGAGCCTATTTCTCTTGACTCAAAGGTTAAGAACTAATACAGACACAAATTTTGTGTCACATAAATGGACACATTGATTTTTTTAAAAGAACATTCGAGAAGCTGTGTGTCTTATAAAATGCTTAGCAAGGGCATTGATAAGCACATTGCACTGGAAATGGATTTTAAGGTACAGAGGGGAAGAAGTATTTGTTCCTAATGAACAGAGAATGAGGTAAGTAGTGTCTTACACCAGGAAGATAAATTAGGATTGTGGGTGTAAAATAATGTCCTAATTCACTGCAAATAAATTAAAGCAATAATATATTCCTCTAAGACTGGGCCAGTTACACCATTAACAAATTTGTTTCTTTCTTTCTTTTTTTTACAAACTCTTTATTTGCTGTCTCTATGATAGTTTGTAGAAATAACACTAGCCAAGTGCACCATTGCCTAGTTATGATTACGTGTCAGGTAAATCTATTACTCAGTCATAAAAAACATTATGGAATTTAATAAATAAAACATGACATGACCTAGTATTTCTTTTCTGGTTTTTTTTTGGTTTTTTTTTTTTGAGACAGGGTCTCAGCTGTGTAGTTCAGGCTGGTCTTGAACTCATGATGTAGTGCAGGCTGGCCTTGAACTCATGGCGATTCTCCTGCCTCAGCCTCCCTGGTGCTGGGATGATAGGCATTCGCCACACTACCTGGCTACAGCCTAGTATTTCCGAGAAAAGCAAAGCAGGAGGGTGGCATTCACAGCTTTGTGCCTGAGTGCTTCCCTATTCTGTGTTTTTCTAATCATTAAACCTATTGATTTGTGTTTCCTGAGTTATCTTGGGAAATTAAACTAGAACACTTTATCCTTTAAAAAAAAGTTTGAAGTTTTAAAAGGATAAATTTTAAAGTATGAGTATGTTACTGCGAGACACTTATAAAAATAGCTTACAACGATTTGGGGTTTTGGTGGTTGTCATTGTCTTTTTGAGACGGGGTTTCACTGTGTAGTTCAGGCTGGCTTGAACTCACTTTGTAGCCCAGGCTAACCTCGAACTTGCAGTGATCTTCCTGTCTCAGCCTCCCCAGTGCTGGGGCTACAGGAGTGTGCCACCACCCCTGGCCTTGATTATTATTAAAGACCTTTAACTGCACAGGCCATTTAAAATTTTCCTTGAACAATTTTTTTCCTCTTGTCTTAGACTTTCTGGCATCTAATTTATCATCCCAAGGACTATTTTAGCTTATTTCTTCATTTTGGCCTTGTTCTCAGAGGCAAGTGTGTCAAAAAGCCAAAGCCCAAATGGGACTCTTGATAGAGCAACACTTCTGTGCATTACGACTTGGCCTTTGAGAGCCTCAGTTGATGTATTAGTTATCTCTTCCATGACTACAACATGCATCTGAATAATCAATTTATATAGAGAAAAGATTTATTTTGCCTCACAGTTTTAGAGGTTGTAGTCTGCGATCTATTGGCTCTGCTGCTTTGGGCCCATGGCAAGTTGGCACAATGCTCCGCTCATGGCCGGGAGACAAAAGAAGGGGAAAGGGCCCAAGTCCCACTTTCCTCTTCGGGGCTGTACCCCAGTGACAAGGCCTCACCTCTTAAAAAGGTTCCACCACCTCCCCACAGCTCCCCACATGGGCCTTTCAGGAACACATAAGATCCAGACCATAGCACTCCAGGATCACTAATTCTTGAAGTCACCTTTAGTGATTGTTATTGCCACGTCTTTCTATTACCTCAAGTCCTATTTATCCTTTTTTTTTTCTTTTTTTTTTTTTTTCTGACTGCTCTTTTCTCTTTTATTAGGTGGCTGGTTATAGCAGTTGGTTTGGTCAGAGCATATCTGGCAAAAGGGAGCTACCATAGCCTTTATTACTCAATAGAAAAGCCTTTGAAATTCTTCCAAACTGGAGCCTTACTCGAGGTAGGTTTGAGATTTGCTATTTCAGTTATTTCCAAGTAGAAAACATGCTACTGAATTGTACTGAAGTGACTATATCTCTGCTGGATTTTAAATTTTGAAATTTTGTCTCAGCATA